TGAGTCTTTGCTTTCAAGATTTTCTGCTGTAAAAACTGAGTTTATTTTCTTTATTTTCCTTCCCTAATAAAACTCTCAAAATTCTGAAATTTGAATCAATACTTTCTGGTTTCTCTAAGAGAATATTTTTAGGATCTTCTATGATTCTGAATTCTGGGTTGGTGCTTTGCAAATTTGTTGATTTTTCTTTATAGAAAGATTCTGCTCAAAATCTCAGATCTTTGCAAACTTTTCTAGTTCTTCTAAAGAGAAGATTCAGCTCTTTTTGATCTCGTTAGATTCTCAAGAACCTTCAGATGCTGAATTGTTTTTTGGCAAATGTTCATCGGTAAGTATTTCTTTAGGAAGACTCTACCTACAGATCCTAAGATCCTGAATTCTGCGGACCTTGAAAATTTCTTGATGTTTTAACTCTAGAATTTTTAGGGAATGAATTCTGAGTCTTTGCTTTCCAGATTTTCTGCTGTAAAAAACTGAGTTTATTTTCTTTATTTTCCTTCCCTAATAAAACTCTCAAAATTCTGAAATTTGAATCAATACTTTCTGGTTTCTCTAAGAGAATATTTTTAGGATCTTCTATGATTCTGAATTCTGGGTTGGTGCTTTGCAAATTTGTTGATTTTTCTTTATAGAAAGATTCTGCTCAAAATCTCAGATCTTTGCAAACTTTTCTAGTTCTTCTAAAGAGAAGATTCAGCTCTTTTTGATCTCGTTAGATTCTCAAGAACCTTCAGATGCTGAATTGTTTTTTGGCAAATGTTCATCGGTAAGTATTTCTTTAGGAAGACTCTACCTACAGATCCTAAGATCCTGAATTCTGCGGACCTTGAAAATTTCTTGATGTTTTAACTCTAGAATTTTTAGGGAATGAATTCTGAGTCTTTGCTTTCCAGATTTTCTGCTGTAAAAAACTGAGTTTATTTTCTTTATTTTCCTTCCCTAATAAAACTTTCAAAATCCTACAATTTGAGTCAATACTTTCTGGTTTCTCTAAGAGAATATTTTTAGAATCTTCTGATTTTGAATTCTGGGTCGTTGCTTTGCAAATTTGTTGATTTTTCTTTATAGAAAGATTCTGCTCTAAATCTCAGATCTTTGCAAACTTTTCTAGTTCTTCTAAAGAGAAGATTCAGCTCCTTTTGATCTCGTTAGATTCTCAAGAACCTTCAGATGCTAAATTGTTTTTTGGCAAATGTTCATCGGTAAGTATTTCTTTGGGAAGACTCTAGCTATAGATCCTAAGATCCTAAATTCTGCGAACCTTGAAAATTTCTTGATGATTTAATTCTATAGAATTTTTAAGAAATGAATTCTGAGTCTTTGCTTTCCAGATTTTCTGCTGTAAAAACTGAGTTTATTTTCTTTATTTTCCTTCCCAAATAAAACTCTCAAAATTCCGAAATTTGAATCAATACTTTCTGGTTTCTCTAAGAGAATATTTTTAGGATCTTCTATGATTCTGAATTCTGGGTTGGTGCTTTGCAAATTTGTTGATTTTTCTTTATAGAAAGATTCTGCTCAAAATCTCAGATCTTTGCAAACTTGTCTAGTTTTTCTAAAGAGAAGATTCGGCTCTTTTTGATCTCGTTAGATTCTCAAGAACCTTCAGATGCTGAATTGTTTTTTGGCAAATGTTCATCGGTAAGTATTTCTTTGGGAAGACTCTACCTACAGATCCTAAGATCCTGAATTCTGCGAACCTTGAAAATTTCTTGATGATTTAACTCCAGAATTTTTAGGGAATGAATTCTGAGTCTTTGCTTTCCAGATTTTCTGCTGTAAAAACTGAGTTTATTTTCCTTCCCTAATAAAACTCTCAAAATTCTGAAATTTGAATGAATACTTTCTGGTTTCTCTAAGAAAATATTTTTAGGATCTTCTATGATTCTGAATTCTGGGTCGTTGCTTTGCAAATTTGTTGATTTTTCTTTGTAGTAAGATTCTGCTCAAAATCTCAGATCTTTGCAAACTTTTCTAGTTCTTCTAAAGAGAAGATTCAGCTCCTATTGATCTCGTTAGATTCTCAAGAACCTTCAGATGCTGAATTGTTTTTTTGGCAAATGTTCATCGGTAAGTATTTCTTTGGAAAGACTCTACCTACAGATCCGGAATTCTGCGAACCTTGAAAATTTCTTGATGATTTAACTCTAGAATTTTTAGGGAATGAATTCTGAGTCTTTGCTTTCCAGATTTTCTGCTGTAAAAACTGAGTTTATTTTCCTTCCCTAATAAAACTCTCAAAATTCTGAAATTTGAATGAATACTTTCTGGTTTCTCTAAGAAAATATTTTTAGGATCTTCTATGATTCTGAATTCTGGGTCGTTGCTTTGCAAATTTGTTGATTTTTCTTTGTAGTAAGATTCTGCTCAAAATCTCAGATCTTTGCAAACTATTCTAGTTCTTCTAAAGAGAAGATTCAGCTCCTATTGATCTCGTTAGATTCTCAAGAACCTTCAGATGCTGAATTGTTTTTTTGGCAAATGTTCATCGGTAAGTATTTCCTTGGGAAGACTCCAGCTACAGATCCTAAGATCCTGAATTCTGCGAACCTTGAAAATTTCTTGATGATTTAACTGTAGAATTTTTAGGAAATGAATTCTGAGTCTTTGTTTTCTAGATTTTCTGCTGTAAAAACTGAGTTTATTTTCTTTATTTTCCTTCCCTAATAAAACTCTCAAAATTCTGAAATTTGAATCAATACTTTCTGGTTTCTCTAAGAGAATATTTTTAGGATCTTCTATGATTCTGAATTCTGGGTCGGTGCTTTGCAAATTTGTTGATTTTTCTTTATAGAAAGATTCTGCTCAAAATCTCAGATCTTTGCAAACTTTTTTAGTTCTTCTAAAGAGAAGATTCAGCTCCTATTGATCTCGTTAGATTCTCAAGAACCTTCAGATGCTGAATTGTTTTTTTGGCAAATGTTCATCGGTAAGTATTTCTTTGGAAAGACTCTACCTACAGATCCGGAATTCTGCGAACCTTGAAAATTTCTTGATGATTTAACTCTAGAATTTTTAGGGAATGAATTCTGAGTCTTTGCTTTCCAGATTTTCTGCTGTAAAAACTGAGTTTATTTTCCTTCCCTAATAAAACTCTCAAAATTCTGAAATTTGAATGAATACTTTCTGGTTTCTCTAAGAAAATATTTTTAGGATCTTCTATGATTCTGAATTCTGGGTCGTTGCTTTGCAAATTTGTTGATTTTTCTTTGTAGTAAGATTCTGCTCAAAATCTCAGATCTTTGCAAACTATTCTAGTTCTTCTAAAGAGAAGATTCAGCTCCTATTGATCTCGTTAGATTCTCAAGAACCTTCAGATGCTGAATTGTTTTTTTGGCAAATGTTCATCGGTAAGTATTTCCTTGGGAAGACTCCAGCTACAGATCCTAAGATCCTGAATTCTGCGAACCTTGAAAATTTCTTGATGATTTAACTGTAGAATTTTTAGGAAATGAATTCTGAGTCTTTGTTTTCTAGATTTTCTGCTGTAAAAACTGAGTTTATTTTCTTTATTTTCCTTCCCTAATAAAACTCTCAAAATTCTGAAATTTGAATCAATACTTTCTGGTTTCTCTAAGAGAATATTTTTAGGATCTTCTATGATTCTGAATTCTGGGTCGGTGCTTTGCAAATTTGTTGATTTTTCTTTATAGAAAGATTCTGCTCAAAATCTCAGATCTTTGCAAACTTTTTTAGTTCTTCTAAAGAGAAGATTCAGCTCCTATTGATCTCGTTAGATTCTCAAGAACCTTCAGATGCTGAATTGTTTTTTTGGCAAATGTTCATCGGTAAGTATTTCTTTGGAAAGACTCTACCTACAGATCCGGAATTCTGCGAACCTTGAAAATTTCTTGATGATTTAACTCTAGAATTTTTAGGGAATGAATTCTGAGTCTTTGCTTTCCAGATTTTCTGCTGTTAAAACTGAGTTTATTTTCTTTATTTTCCTTCCCAAATAAAACTCTCAAAATTCCGAAATTTGAATCAACACTTTCTGGTTTCTCTAAGAGAATATTTTTAGAATCTTCTGATTTTGTATTGTGGGTTGTTGCTTTGCAACTGTGTTGATTTTTCTTCACAGAAAGATTCTGCTCAAGATCTCAGATCTTGAGTCATTAAATTTGTAAACTTTCTGATTCTTAGGAACCTTCATTATAAGCAGTTGATAGCTCAAATCGAGGTTTAAGACCAAAAACCATTGTAAACCATAGGGTTTGAGCTATCAACTGCAATGGAAACAGACTATATAATATGTTGAATTCATCGGCTGGATCCTTATCGAAAGAAGCTCTCAAGATCTCAAATCATTATTTCTAGTTTTTCTAGAAAAAAATCGAGAACATGAACTATGGAAGCCTTGAAAATATCTTGATTTTGCTGTAAAAAGGCTCAAGTTCCTAATTTTTTTGAAATCCTGCTGTTTCTTTTAAGAAGAGATTTATCAGAGTCTTTTTTTATCTCCAAGGAGCTATTTTACTATATCTGAAGATCTCGAGGTTGTAAATTTTGCAAGCTTAAGTAGGCTACCTACCTATATTGAGAAAGCTCTGGAAAGTTTAGAGAAATCTGAAGAAGTATTGGGAATTAAAAATGAGAAAATCTGAAGAATTCCAAAGAAAGGAAAATTTGATACCTAATTTCCTTTCCATTTTTGTTCTTTTAGAGGAAGTACAGAAAATATCTTGAAAAAGTTTACTAAAAATAAGTTAACTTTATTGAAGAAGTTTGGAGAAATCTGAAAAAGTAATAAGAAGATCCGCAAGACAGTATATAGAAAAATCCAAAGAAGGTCCGAGGAAGATTTCTCACATACTTTATAGAAGAGGTAGTTTCTCCCTAAGTATTGGAAACAATTCCTAAATTTTGTATTAGGAAAATCTAAGAAAATGAGACTAGGCATATTTGTGTAAAAAAAATTGAACTTTTGAGAACATTTTTGAGACCGATATAAGAAGTAAGCTAGGGATTCTAATTACGAAAAAAGAGAAAAAAATTCTTACCTCCTAAGGTCAATATAAATCTCAGTAGGGCCTTCAGCTTTGAAGACACTTTACAAGTGTTCACTTAACTCAAAACACCAAATATAGAATCAATCAACGAGAGAACCTTTCATTCACAATTCCGGCATCGGACAAAATCGACCCGGAAAAGTCGAAGTACCACCAAAAAAAAAAAAATTCGGGTGCCCCCCACGAACCGAATATCCGCGATAGCGGAGCGACCTCACATACGACGAATAAACTGGCGGGTCCGGCGAGAAGAGAGAGAGCGCCCATGCTCCCGGAAAGGGGGCCAAAAGGGGGATTTGGATTACGCAAAAAGGCGGGCTCCGGATGAATGGGTGGAGACCCGGAGACTGGTTACGGATTGAGAGGGGAACTTTGCATAATGTGGCATATGGATTTATAGTCTGAGAATTTTTTTAGACCAGGAAATATCAATATTTTCATATGTCATCTTTCAAATTGAAATTTTAAAGTAAAATGCATGGGTATCTAGTTCAAAACAATTTGGATTTGTGATTAGGTACCAGGTATATAGTATTTCCAAACTCAATTGCAACAAGGTACCAACTGGTGGCTGACTAGTAACTGAAAATTTCCATAAGAAATGCACTGATGCCACTAGTCAGCCACCCAGTTATGATTTATGTTCTTTTTGACTTTGAAAACACTATACCTACCTACCTATTGTAGGTAAAAGTAAAAATTATAACATCAAAACACTTTACTTGAATCAAAAGTAAACGTTTCGGCTTCTGCAATATCTTCAAGGCAAGATTTGCCAGGTTTTATTATTAAATTGCTAGAAAAACATTATTATGTCACGCCATTCTTAGAAATCAATTGCCCTTTTCTCCCTTTTGTAAAGGACTAGGTATCACAAGTTGAAAAAATTCATGTCTGGCTTTGAATGGTTCTGAATTATTAGATATTTATTCCAGGATTTCCAGGCTCTTGAATCAATAAGAATTGTGCTTCTCCAAGTTACTCTATCAACTGGAAAGGCTGAAAAAAAACTGAACAGCCTTATTGTACTATTCAGTATTCAAAGAAGAATTAGGAAATTTGCAAAGTACCTAACGACGCAGAATTATTCAAGATCTAAAGTTTGTAGAGTTTTCTCATTAAAGCACCAAAAAAGTTTTAGGGTTTGCATGATTCTGGATCTTAAAATCCAGAAAGTCTTAACAAAGAAATACCATTGAACATTTGCAAGAATCTAACGAGATCATGAGGATCTTAAGATAAGAATCTTCCCTTAGAAGAACCAGAAAGTTTGCAAATTTAATGATTCAAAATCTGAGATCTTGTGCCAGAGTCTTTCTACATAAAGAAAAATCAAGAAATTTGCGAAGCAACGCGAGGACCCAGAATTCAGAATCAAAAGATCCTGAAAACATTCTCTTAAAAGAACCAGAAATAGTATTCATTCAGTTTTTACAGCAGGAAATCCTGAATTAGGAAATTTTTTTTCCTCATTTCATCGAGGCTAACCCAAAATAATTTTTTAAATAAAAAAAGGAAATTCCGAAATCAAATGGATCTTGGGAATCTTCTCTGACTTCTCTTATAGGAGAATCAAATTCAACAGTTAAAATACCAAAAAATTTTCAAGGTTCGGAAAAATCAGGATCTTAGGAACTGTAAAGTCTCACCGATGAATATTTGCCAAAATACAATTCAGCATCCGAAGGTTTTAAAGAATCTAACTGGATCAATAAATAACAACCCAAGAATCCTCTCTTAGAAGAACCTAAGAAAGTTTGCAAGTTTAATGATCTTGAGTCTTTGTATAAAGAAAAATCAAGAAATTTGCAAAGCAAAGCAAGGGTATTTAGAATCAAAAGATCCTAAGAATATTCTCTTAAAAGAACCAGTAACTATTGATTCAAATTCCAGGATTTTGAGAATTGATTTAGAAAAGAAAAATAGTGAAGTGACCGACTTACTTCTTACAGCCAAAATTTTGAAAAATAAAGACTCTATATCCTAGAGTTGGATCACCAAGGAATTTTTAAGGTTTTCAGAATTCAGGATTAGGAAAAGCCTTCCCAAAGAAAAACCAAACATTTATGAAAGAACAATGCAGAATCTAAAGATCCTATAGGAATGTAACAGGTTTTAAAAATATGAGAATTACCAAGAAATTTGCACTACAACAATTCTGAATTCAAGATCAAAAGTACCTAGATAAAAGCACCAAGAAATTTCAAAGAATTCATCAGGATCTTATCTTATGAGTGTTTTCGTAGAAAAACCAGAAAATACGCAAAGTATAATGACTCAGAATGCCGGATCTTAAAATCAGTGAAGTTTAAAAAAAAAGGACATGCTTGATAAATGACTTAATCTGAAAAAGGAAGACACTCCCTTAACATTCTAAAGTTGACACGAAATTTTCAAGGTTTTGCAGAATTCAGAATCTTAAAGATTATTCTAACGTGCAGTTGGACACAAAATGTGCAGCAGGAAAAGTAAATTATGCAGTGGAAAATTAAAATCTGTACAGTTATTTTTTCATGTATTACGAACAAATAATTTAGCTGACATAATATGCTACATATGAGAATACAATAGCACTATCAATACATTACATTTAATTTGTTCTAAAATGTATTGCTAATTTTCCCCCAGCACTACCTAAAATTCTCCGTTTACCTCATCCGCATTGGCCTCAACAAAAATATCTGTGCTGTTTGGCCTGTGCTGTTTCTTTGAGTCTGTGCTGATTCTTATTTAATCAAACCATGGTGGCTTGTCGAGGATCCCTCTGACAGATAAGGCATATTGTGATAAATGTAAAAAGGGCGTGACCCCCAAAAAATAGAAAATAGTATATTGTGTATTTAGGTGGAAAAATGACTGATTCTCGGCTGACGGTGAAGTTAACGCGCGAGGCGCAGCCGAGCCCAGCAAACACCGAAGGCCGAGAATGTGCTTTTCCTCTGAAATACAAATAATATTTTTTCTGCTATCGCCCAGGAATAAAAAAAAAATGAGGAATGCATTTGTGATGTTGCTGGATCAGCACACTTTTCCGGCCTAGGCCGGAAAAATGTTTCCCGTAGATACTGTTATCCATTCATTCTTTAGTAATCACTTTCTCGGCCTAGGGGAAAAATGATTCTTATACTGTTATCCATTATCCATCGATTCCTTAGCAACTAATGAAAATACCAGAATTTCGAGCTTTGCGACCTGTCAAAAATGATGATATTTCTTGTCAATCGCAGAAACATATATTATGGCTGGGCTCGGTAATTGCATCTGCGAGCAAAACGAGCAAAATTTGATAGATTTCACGTGATTTGACACGTGGAAAAAGATAAGTGATCACGTGACGTCCGTCAAAATTTGCTCTTTTTGCTCGCAGATGCAATTACCGAACCCAGCCTATGTGAATGTGTGTTAGTGATACACGAGGGGGAATCCACCTACTTAATTTTGTACACCAAAAATTCTAAAATTCTAAAAAATGCTAATTTTCATGTTATTATTGTCCCAAAAAATTCTAAAAATTCTAAAAAATTCTAAAAAATTCTAAAAAATCCCAACAAATTGGGCAGGCTCTTAATAATTCTAGAAATTGCTAAAAAATACTAAAAAATGCAAAAAAACACTGTTAATTCTGAAAAATTCCAAGAAATTCTGAAAATTCTATCCGTTTGTACAGGGTGATCTATTATAAATGTCAAGCCCGCTAACTTTATCACTTGATTTTTTTGACAGAAGTGTCACTGTCAAATACAAAAGTTAAGAAATTATCAAAAATCTTTAACTAAGTTAGTTTTAGGCATACATCAGGGTGCGTCAAAAAAGTGCAGCAGTGTGAAGTTATATTTTTTTAAATGGAACACCCTGTATATTGTGCGCTTATTTGCTGGGCCCCTTACCAGTTCCAGGACCATACCAGATAATATGATTTCAACGATATACGGTTTGATATGTTTATCTCTCTGTTTATCTTCAATAGTAGGGAAAAACGCGAAAATCCCTTGCTAGTTCTCTCATGTTATTTTTTCAAAAATAATAATAATAACTGGATTTATTATAATATTTTACCTTGTATATTAATGAATAAAATATGAACAATAAACTGTTCATAAAAAAAAATTCTCTAAAGCTTAAATGGTATAATTTTTCTTTTTTCAATATGAAACCTTGAAAGGGGTTTTCATTTTTTTCGCTATAAATATCGAATATAGACATCAAATCGTATATCGTTGAAATCAGGTTGAAAGGGACTAACAAATAAGCGCACAATATCCAGGGTGTTCCATTTAAAAAAATATAACTTCACATTGCTACACTTTTTTGACACACCCTGTACGTCTAAGGACAGGTATTATAAAACCACTTTGAGAGTTAACTTAAAGTTAACTTCTGAAAATACATGTAATTCAAAAAGTTAACTTCAAGTTAACTAGCAAAGCAGTTTTATAATACCCGCCCTTAAACTGACTTAAAGTGGGTATTATAAAACTGCTTTGACAGTTAACTTGAAGTTAACTTTTTGAATTACATATTACATGTAATTCCAGAAGTTAACTTTAAGTTAACTCTCAAAGTATTTTTATAATACCAGCCCTTAGTTAAAAACTTTTGACAATTTATTGAAACTTTTGTATTTGACACTTTTGTCAAAAATGTCAAATGAAAAAGTTAGAAGGGGGTGACATTTATAATAGATCACCCTGTACACCAAAATTCTAAGAAGGTTTCCCGCTCGGGGGAACCCACCTACCTAGTTTTTTACACCAAAAATTCTAAAATTATGAAAAATGCTAATTCTCGAAAAATTCTAAAAATTCAAAAAAATTTCGAAAAATCCCAACAGATTGCGCAGTGCCTAGGCTCTTGAGCATGCGCAATAGGTGAAAATTCTAAATTATTCCTAAAAAATTCTAATTCAATTCTAAACAATACTAAAAAATTCTAAATAATTCTAGAAAATGCTAGAAAATACTGATAATTCTAAAAAAATTTAAGAAATTCTAAAAAATTCTATCAGTTTGTACACCAAAATTATAAGGTGGTTTCCCCCTCGGTGATACATATCATGGTAATACATACGGTGATTTATTTCCTTTAGGGCCAAATTATGGACTGACTGGTAAACGTCTGGTTGTTACCTAGCAGATACTTTCTATGCTCTAGATAA